AGTTTGAGGCCAGCCTGGTCTACAGAGTGAGTTCTGGGACAGCCAGGGCTACACAGAGAAACCCTGTCTCGAAAAACCAAAAAAAAAAAAAAAAATTAAGAAAGCAAGCAAGCAAGCAAGCAAGCTGAGCAAGGCAGGGGAAGCAAGCCAGTAAGTAACACCCCTCCATGGCCTCTGCATCAGCTCCTGCTTCCTGACCTGCTTGAGTTCCAGTCCTGACTTCCTTTGGTGATGAACAGCAATGTGGAAGTGTAAGCTGAATAAACCCTTCCCTCCCTAACTTGCTTCTTGGTCATAATGTTTGTGCAGGAATAGAACCCTGCATCCAGGGCTACACAGAGAAACCCTGTCTCGAAAAACCAAAAAAAAAAAAAAAAAGAAACCCTGACTAAGACAAACATAAAGAGGTCTCTCTAAGGAACATAGTCAGATGAAATATGCAGGTCCTGGATTGGATCCTAGTTACAAACCAACGACCAAAAAATGTCCTTTTGGGCCTTCAGGATGGCTCAGTGGGTACAGGTGCTAGCCACCAAGCTTCCTGACCCAAATGCCATCCTGAGGAGCCGCATGGCACGGGCACTTACTCTACAGCTTATCCTCCGAAAGCCGGGGATGGTGGGGCAACCTTTAATCCCAGCACCCACGAGGCAGACAAGTTTCAGACCAGCCAAGGCTACACTGTGAGACCTCAAATGCCCTGTCCTTCCCCATTAATAAAAAAGAATGTTCTCTAGGGTATTATTAGGAAAATTTGCATAACTCAATATTAAACAATACTGGAATTCTCTTCTTCCAATGCTGAGGACTGACCTACAGAGCCTTAGGCATAGAGTACATTCAGGTACCCCATCATGGAGCCGCATTCCTGCCCTAAAGTTATCCTGACAGATTGTTTCTTTGTCAGCATACCTAGGGTTCCTTTCTTATTATATGGGGAAAGGTTAGTTTTTAAAGGTTAGCTGAAAGAGTTAGTTTGTTCTTAAATTCTAAACTTCTTTCCATGAGCTAGGTCCACAGTCCCTGTGCCAACCCCTCTAATTTCTCTTTGTTCCATCCGCCTCTTCAGTTAAAATATCCCTAACACATCAGCCTTCCCTCCGACAGCTTCCTGCTTAGGGCCTTTGTCTATATAGCATATTCAAGATGGCTGAAACGGAAGTAGCGGAAGTAGCACCGCCTCCTAGATCTGAGTTTGTTGTTTATTTCTACTTTGTTTCTTTTTTTTTTTTTTTTTTTGGTTTTTCAAGACAGGGTTTCTCTGTGTAGCTCTGGCTGTCCTGGAACTCACTCTGTAGACCAGGCTGGCCTCGAACTCAGAAATCCACCTGCCTCTGCCTCCCAAGTGCTGGGATTAAAGGCGTGTGCCACCACCACCCAGCTGTACTTTGCTTGTTTATTTGACACCTAGCTCCCCTTCTAGAATACAATCCCCAACCTGTTCACCATCTCCCCAGAGCCTGGACCAGTACCTGTCTTAGAGTACCCGATAATAACTCCCTATCATGGGGCCGAGGAAATGACTCAGTAGGTAAAAGAGCTTGCCACACAAACCTGCCGACCTGAGTTTGATGCTAGGAAGTAACACAAGAAAGCCAGATGCCGCGATGAGCATCTGGAACACCGGCGCTCTTAGGAGAGATGGGACGTTGGATCAGCTGGCAGCTGATGGGCCAGCTATGGAGTACACTGCCCTGCTCTAAAGACACAGGAGATCCTGCCTTAGCAACTGGAAGGGAAGAAGACAACAACAGCTACTACTACCTTATTTTTTAGAGACAGCATCTTACTGAATAGCCCTATATGGCCTAGAACTCAATACTTACTGGCCTGGAACTCAGAAAGCTTCACCTACCTCTGTCTTCAGAGTGCTGGGATAAAAGGCTTGCGCCACACTGTACTCAGAACTGACTTTTAAAAAGCTTCATGCATACAGCGTGGTCCACGTGCATACTCACCCTCATTCTCACACACGAGCAAGCACACGCATACACAGCAAATTTAGAAGAATCAATCTTGAGTAATTCAGACGGCCTTACAATAATCCAGTTGGGGAAGTCCTAAGCTACAAATTCCAAGTCACCTTTGTGTCTCTCAACAGTAAACGATACAAGAGCAAGCTCCAAACTTCTTTCAAAGTGGTTTTGGCTCATTTCCTTGATTATTATGTCTTTTCTAAGAGGAACGAAAGAGACAAAGAGCTAGCAGAGACTTCTAGACTTGTTCAGAACGAGCTGTGAGCAGGACAGTGTGTGGGGGAGGAGGTGGTCCACACACAGGAGGTCTGCCCTAGCAGATGAGATCCCATTCCAAAGACTAGTTTGTTAGTGACAGTGTCTTACTCTGAATCCCAGGCTGCCCCCCAAGTCGAAGCAATCCTCCTGCTTCAACATCCTGTAATGCTGGTTTTACAGGCGAATAGCATCATCTCTCTCAAGTCGCTCTAGTCCATATCTGCGGGGGTGGGGGGGTGGGGTTATAGGGGGAGCCTAACTCTTACCAATAGCAAACTTGATTAGGGTTTCATTCTCTTCTGACAGAGAATCGAGGAATAAGTCCAGGACTTGCAGTTGCCGTAGGTACGGATAGTTGCCCGGGTCATAAGCGAAGTTGGCAAGGTTGGCGAGGACTTGCTCTTTGGCGTCTGCAATGAGAAACGGCACTGGGGTCGGGCCTGTGCGGTTGCTGCCGTCGGAGCCCTGCCTGGTCCCTCGTGCCCACCACACCTCTCACCTTGGCTCTCGGTCTCCTGGAACTCCGTGACCAGCGCCTGCAGGTAGCCTAGCCGCCCGACGTGGGAGTCTATCTTGGGTTTCTGTGCCATGGCTGGGGCGGCGGAATTAGGTGGTCGGGTAGAGGCCACAAGGCCGAAACCCTTGCCTGGATCCTGACCTGTCCCGGCGGCGACAGAGTGACAGCAAACCCAGTCTCGTCCTGAGATCCGAGTCTGCAGTGCGTGGCAGCTGGGGATGCGCTGTGGGGATGCGCTGTGGGGATGGCCAGGGGTCTCAGGATCCTGTCAGAGCCGGGTTTGAAACCAAAATTCAACCTGGGTGACAAGCCGTGGCATTTTGGAACCGAAGGCACACCCCTCACGGTGCTCTCCACACTGCTTCCGGGTTCTGGGCGGAAGTCGCTCTAGCCCCGCCCCAGGAAACGGAGTGGGCAGGACCAGGACGGGATTGGGCGTGGTTACTGGGCGCCTCCTGGGCTTCCCGCCCGATTTCTAGAGCTGGAGGTTTTATGTATCTGCTGCGGGGATGAGTAGAAAGACTCAGGGAGGGAGGGAGGAGGGGAAGAGAAGAAAGGGAGGGAGGGAAAGATGGATGGAGTGACAGCAGGGCAGACGGATCTTAAGGTCATCTAGACATGGTGACAATTTAATCTGAGAATTTGGAGTTTATAAGAACTGCCTAGCCGGGCGGTGGTGGAGCACGCCTTTAATCACAGCACTTGGGAGGCAGAGGCAGGCGGATTTCTGAGTTTGAGGCCAGCCTGGTCTACAGAGTGAGTTCCAGGACAGCCAGGGCTACACAGAGAAACCCTGTCTCGAAAAAAACCAAAAAAATAAAAAAAAAAATAAGAACTGCCTAGTCTACAAGGCCCGCCACGGCTACGTGACAAGGCCCTGTCAACAAAACAACATCCGTCAAACCCAAAACAAAATCATAAGGTCACAACGAGCATCAGGGAGGGAGGCGGCTTTGCCATGCTGTCATGGAGATGGAGGATGTAGGCAGTAAGGGTGTTTTAGGGCAAGGGGCAAGGGTCATGTACTTAGCTCTATGTTTGCTACCAGGGGCTTGAATCACAGCAGAATGGTTTATGTACCTCACTTTTCCCTGACCCCCACCTCTAGGGTTCAAGTCCCTGTGATTAATCCATGCCTAATATCAACCCAGAGCAAGAGTTTTAACCTTAGTTTGGGTGCTTGAGTACCGAGGTTGCTCTGTGAGAACTCTGTGCCCTTTAGGTTTTGTAAGAAGCCCCTCTAGCCTGGCTTCTTACATCTCAGCTAAGATGGCCAGGCATCTTACTAGACCTGGAGACCTTTGAGATTCCAGAACAAACACTTTGTGGATTCCCCTCAAAATCTTCCAGGGATGGTCCAAAGCAGTTCCTGGCCACAAAAGGGTAGACCTTGGTGTCATGTTGTCGCCAAGTCTCAGGCTCCAGAGAGCTGAGATTACAGCACTCCTGGGCATAGGTAGGGCTGGAGATTCTGACCCTCATTCCTTCATTGCTTGTTGCCCATAGATTAATGCCATTATCACCAATGAGCAAGTGTGATGAAAATCCCGTAGCTAGAGATTCAAAGATTCTATTTTTCCTGGAGTGTTTCCCGGAAGTGGGCCTGTTAGCTAGCCTCAACTCTATTTTCCATTAGAAGGAAAACTAGGTCCCGGCATTTGCCCTTCAGAGTAGAAACTACGCCTGGTGGTCAAGCTCAGTGCTGAGTTGGGATCAAGAAAGCAGTGCGGAACATTAGACATAGAGGAAGACTTTTCAACTGGAAGATGATGTCTCATACAGGCCAAATTTTATTTTTTAAATTACATTTATTTGTGTGTGTGCGTGTGTGTGTGTGTGCGCACATGCCACAGAACAACTTGTGATAGTGGGGCCTCTCCTTTCCTGTGTGGGTCCCAGGAATTAAATTCAAGTTGTCGGCATGGCAGCAAGCACCGTTACCTACTCAGCCGTCTCCACCCAAGTCTAGAGACAGTGAACATAAAAGCCCAAAGCAACTCAGCAAAAGCACTGATGCAGTACTTCTTTTGACCACCAGGGGCACTCGTGACAGCCCCTCAGAAGGAATAATTCTAAAGATGCTTATTCACGCCAGATGGGCTTGTGGAGGAGGAAGGCTGGCGGCGGCAGTCATGAAAATAAAATCCTCTTTTCCTGATAAGGTTTTCTTGCCGGAGCCTGGTTGCGCCTGAACCAACAAACAAGCCCAAGAAGTTCCTGCCAGGCTGGGGGAATGGAGGAAATTTACTAAGGTCTGTTTTCCTCTTTTATTAGTCCAGAGTTCATGACCCGTGGCAGGGAATGTTTTTGTATATAATTCAAATAGACTGTTTTCCTATTCCCTGGAGTACCCTGCTGGGACAAGCCTGGGCTGATGACAGCTAGTCTTAAGTGATGACCTCAGAGACCAGCACCAGAAGTATGTCTGTGGACATAGTTCCAGGCCCTGGGCTCAGGCTAGTAGGAGCCGCTGACTTAGCCAGTTACTGCTTCAGGGTTGATACCTCCAACACATCCTGGAGAAAGGGGAACCTGAGAGGCCAAGAGCAGAGCACAGACTACCGTTTGCATAGATAGGCCCAGTTTTTATAATGTTCCTTAAGTTACCTAGTCAGCTTTCTTGTCTCCTGGTTAGTCAAAGGTCTTCCTTCCCCTGTGTGGATACAGAGTCGGGTAAAAGAGAAGATTCTGGCTCAGGCCCTGCTCAATGGCTGAAGACTCTTCAGACTTTATAACTTCTGAGACTCAAGCAAGAGGGCTCCTTCCGGGACAGTAGAGATGTTTCTTTCCCTGCTCTCTGCAGAGGTGTTGGGACCCGTATTCCCCTAAACATCTGTAATCGGATTGTGACTAATGTCCCAATCTTGTACCAAGGTCAGCTTCTCATCCCGGTCCTTCATCTGTGCCTCTGCTATAGTTCCAGCTTCTTGAATCAGCACCCTTTACCTCCCTGACCTGAGAGGGGTCAGAGTTGGTTATTTGGGAAGAGAGGAGGAGTAAGTTTTTGGAGGAAAGGAAAATTCTTCAAAATTGTCTGAGGCCAAGAAGGATGAGAAACCCCAGAGTGTTAGGTTGTAGGAGCAGCTGGGAGGAGCTAGCCCAGGGTAGCTAGCAATGACTGCTTTATGCAAGACTCAGGCTGCGATTTTCTTGGGACCCAAAAGAAAGCCAGGAAGGCCCACTTCTACACCCTACTTCCTGGAAGGAAGGTTTTCCCCGCTGACTTCAGAGCTCAGAGGCAGGTCACATATGATCTCTGGAGTTCAGACATTGGTCACATAGATTTTTTCAGGGTACGGTTGCTTCTTTGCACTCTTTGTCTTCTGAGGTAAGAGCGTGCATTGAGGTAATCTCTGAGGTGGCATCCTCCATCTTGGCTTGCCCATCTTGCTTCAACTTCTTCTTCTTATCTGCGGCATAGAAGCTCACACCCATGAAAAGGGAGCTTGAGACAAGGAAACCGCTCGACATGTAGAAAACATAGCTGAAGTTGTTGGTCTTGTCCAGCAGCAGTCCTGGGGGACAGAGAACAGGTTAGCCCACGGTGCGAGCTCTAAGGGTTCCTCCGACTAGCTTATGCACTCGAAGAGGGCAGAGATTTTAGTTTTGTTTCCACTCAATAGGACCTCGTGGCTGGCCCCTGGGAAGTGCACAACAGATACTTGTGGGGTGAAAGGAGGGAGGAGACACTTGGTTTCTGGCCTAGGCAGATGTCCTCCCCAGGAAAGAGCCTAAGGACCTGTTACCCTTGGAGGCAAGGGAAACAGACAGAAGGGCTAGTGGAACCCAAGCAATTTGCTCGGCCCTAACCCTGCCTCAGGCCCTAACCCTATCTCTTTGGGGATAATTTGGGACTCATTTGCCTGCAGGGTTTCCTTGGAAACTGGAACTCCAATTTAGGAAAAAGGCTCACTGATTTGAGGGGAGGGTCACACCTTTAATCTCAGCCCTCGGGAGGCAGACGTCTGTGGATCTATGAGTTCGAGGACAGCCTAGTCTATACAGAGAAACCCTGTCTTGAAAAACCAACCAACCAACCAACCAACCAACTAACCAAGCAAACAAACAAAGAAAACCCTCATACAGCTGAGCGCCAAGGTCTGACCATAGTGACAGCCACAACATTTACTTGCTGACTACCCACTGGCACCAGACTCCTCCCACTCACTCTGGAGGTCTCTCTCCCTGCTGTGAAGGCAGTAGCCTTCCCCCTACAGGTCTTACAAATTCTGCTTGTTTCCTTCCTAGCACGAATCCCCACATCCATCCCCACCCCCACCCCAGTGAAGGTAAGCCTCAATAGTGTAGTTTTGATGGCATGCACTCAAGTGACTGGCGTGGGTGGATGTTACAGCGCATGCTCTCCACTGCATTTTGCAGCTGGCATTCTAGCTCAGGGAAGAGTAGTGAGTTTCCCGGGACTTGAAGGTGAGAAGTAAGAGCGTCAGCGTGTTGATTACAGTGAACACAGGTAGAACTCTTATCACGAGTCATACTCTTTGCTTGAGTTCCTTACAAGGCCAATGCGTCCTACCACCGTGCTCCACTGACAGGAACAGAGATCCAGACAGGGAAATGACACATTCGTGTAGCCTGGAGTGCAAACCTTTTCTCTCTTTCTCTCCTTCCTTCCCTCCCCTTGCCTTTAAAAAGATCTTTTACTTGAGTGTATGAGTATTTTATCTTCATGTATGCTTATGTACTGTATGTATGTGGTACTCATGGAGACCAGAGGTGGCCATTGGTGCCTCTAAAACTGCAGTTACAGATGGCTGTGAGCCACTTTGTGGGTGCTAGGAACTGAACTCAGGTCCTCTGTAAGAGCAAACGTGTTATTAACCTCTGAGCCACCTCTCCAGTCCCTCCCTCCCTTAAAACAAGATTTATTTATTCTATAAGATTTTGCCCGCATGTATGTAAGTGTACTGTGAAGGCCTGAAGAGGGTGCTGTATTCCAGAAAGCTGGAGTTATGAACAGTTGTAAACCACTACGTGGGTGCTGGGAATGAACCTGGGTCCTCTGTTTCTTTCTCTCTGATGGTAAGATTGAGATAGGGTCTCATATAGCCCAGGTTGGCTCCCAACTTGCTATGTAGCCAAAAATCTTCCTGCCTCCATTTCCCAACTGGCCAAATTACAGGCATGTACCACCATGCCTGGCCAAGCTTATATTTTTAAACCTTGAGAGCCAGGCAAATAACACACTGTAGCATGGTCACTGAGTTGCTGGAGGAAGGGAAGGATCATGGAATCCAAGTCCCTTGTGACAATGGTATACTGGGGTCAAATCTGTCTGGATGGTCTCCTTTGCCCAACTTATATAGGCCCCACTTGGGCATGCCTGGCTGCCTTCCCTTCCATGCTCTCACCAGCCAATGGTGGAGAGATGAGAGAAGCCACGCCACACAGGATGCTGAAGAAGCCCAGGGCACTGGGGAAACGATCCATCGGGACAATGTCCATTAGAACCTGGAAGACGAAGATTCCGATTCCACACATGGACAGGCTGTACACCAGGCAATAGCCCAGGAGCACCCGGAACTCTGCCGACACTGTGCAAATTAGATTGGTGAGTCCATTGACAAGGATCACCAGGGCAAACAGGTACTTCCGGTAGGCAGTCAAGCTCTTCCTGCCTGCCAGCAGCGCTGCCACTGGCCGCAAGAAGATGTTGCAGAAGCCGACAATGGACATGAGCATGGCTGCCCAATATTCATCTATCCCATGATGCACAGCATACGGCACCAGAAAGATATGCGGCAGTGCAAAACCCAGGCTCATCCATGTCATGCCCGTGACGTATATGCAGAAGTCCATATTGTGCCGAAGGATGTCAAAGGCCAGGTGATACTGGATGGTTGAGACACATGTTGCCAGGCAGCTGTGTTTAGGTGTCTTGGGAGGTAGAAGGGGATCTTCTTTGGGCTCAGGGACCACATTGGTGGCAACAGGCCTCAGGATGGCTCCACATACACAACAGTGGAGAAACATACCACCAAAGATGAGGAAGGCGCCCCTCCAGCCAAAGGTTTCCAGAAGGTATCGGGCCAGCAGTGGCCAGAGGGTGACGCCCAAGGACATTCCTATGGAGGCCAATGCATTGGCTAGTGGCCGGCGACGGACAAAATACAAGCCCACTACTGTGATGCTTGACTGGAAGCTGAAACACATGCCCAGGCCTGCAGTGTGAGAGGGGACATCAGCTCAGGAACTTTGTAGAACTTTCCACCTCCACATGGAGTAGGGGTCTTGCTCATGTTCCATGTCTGTCTCCTTTGGCCCTAGGACAGACACACTTCCAAGTTTCCATGATGGAAGGTACCTGACCACCTCGCTGTAAGCGTCTCACCCAGCTCTGCCTCCCGGCTCCCCTCCGCAAGCACTACAGACCTACAGACCTTAATATCTCTCTCTCTCTCTCTCTCTCTCTCTCTCTCTCTCTCTCTCTCTCTAAATATATATATATATATATATATATATATTTTTTTTTTTTTTTGAGCCTTTAATCCCAGAACTCAGGGGGCAGAGGCCTATAATTCAAGGCCAGCCTGGTCTTCATAGTGAGTTCCAAGCCAGCCAGGGCTATATAGTGAGAACTTGTCTCAGAAAATTTTTTTAGAGTTATTCATTTTATGTGTATAAATGTTTCGCCTGGATATGTGTCTGTGCACCATGTTCACATCTGATACCCGTAGAGATCAGAGGAGGACATAGGATCTTCTGGAACTGGAGTTGAAGATAGCTGTGAGCCACCATGTGGGTCCCAGGAATTGAACCCAGGTTCTCTTGCAAGAACAACAAGTGCTCTTAACTGCTGACCCTAGATTTATTTTTATTTTTAATTATGTGTGTGTATGTAACTATGCATGCATGCATGCATGTATGTATGTATGTATGTAACTATGCATGTATATATGTGTGTATGTGTGTATGTGTGTACACATAGGTGTATGTGCATATGCGTGTATACGTGTGTGTGTCCACCCGAGGTCAGTGCCTTCAGAGGTCAGAGGCAATCCGAGCCTCTGAGCTGGATTGACCCGTGGTTGTGAACCACTTTACATGGGTTCTAAGAACCAAACTCAGACCCTCTGCAAGAGCAGTGCACACTCTGAGCCATGGAGCCATCTTGGTCTTCACAATGACATTTTACACATCATCCTAATGCCTCTCAGAGACTTCCTGTCACATTTGAAAAGCATCCTAAGTGTCTTCTATACCCGTAAGACTGTGTGGTTGGGCTTTGGCCTAAGCCCTGGAATCTGGCTCAGTCCACTCCTTGTCAATCACCAGGATTAAGCCCTGTCAACTCCTCTGGACAACAAGCTGCCTTTATACTTTGTGACCTTTGCCAGGGCCATGTCTTCTGTCTGGAATATGCTTAGCTGAGATGCCACCTCCCCAGAGGGGCCTCACAGGGGTCTTCTTTGCCTCCTGTGCCCCACAGTGGTCAGTGCTGGAGAAAAAGCTCCCAATAAAGAGTCCTGTGTCCCTGTCCCCACCTGCCTACCCCACCCACGTATGTGTGTGTGTCCCACTGTGATGCTACTACAGTATGTTTAGTCACTCCCCTGCCCTCAAGGTGGCCATTTAGGCTTTTGCAACATCTCTTTCCTAACTCCTCACTCAGCTGTACATCAGGACAGTGGCCCACCCATGCCTTCAGGAGTCGACTTCCTATTCCTGGCCTTCAGTCTGTCTCCTCAAGTCTCCCTCTGCAGTTTCCCCCTGGGAGATGCTTTGTGGTGGTGAATGAACCCAAGAGGCTGTTCAGGCACAGCTCTGTGAGTCTGAGGCCAGCCTGATCTACATAACAAGTTCCAAACCAGCAGCGAGGGGTACCATGTCCTCTACCCAGACCACTCTTCCTCAGAGGGCCTCATTCTCTCCCTGACAGTGGTTTTGTTTGCTGTGGTTTTTAATAAGTGTCCCTAAAAAGCTCATATGGTACCTGGGTATGGTGGCAAATGTCTTTAATCCCAGCACCTGGCAAGCAGAGGCAAGTGGATCTCTGAGTTGAAGCCAGCCTGTTCTATAGGGCTACACAGAGAAACCCTGACTTGAAAACCCCAAAAACCAAACCAATGAACAAACCAACCAACCAACCAAACAAACAAACAAACAAGAAATCCATCCAATCAACCAATCAAACAAAAAGACAAAAAACCCAACCAGCCAACCAAACAACCAACCAAACAGAAGTTCTCATAGCAAAGTCTTGGTCCCTAGCACAGAGCTATTGGCAGGGCAAAAACTTTAAGGCATGGGGCCTAGGGACTGGAGATATTACTCAGTGGTTAAGAGCTCCAACTGCTCTTCCAGAGGCCTTGGGCTCAAGCCCCAGCACCCGCATGGTGGTTTACAACTCTCTGTAACTTCAGTTCAAGGGGATCATTGATCTATTTTTGGTCTCCTAGGATACCAGACATGAGTGTGATGTACAGACATACATACTGGTACACATGAAATGAGAATAAATAAATATGGTTTTTAATTAAACAAAAGAGAGAGTTGAGGCTTAATGGGAGATCTTCGGGGCGGTGGTGCATGTCCCCTATGTCCCCGAAGGGCTATTGGGACCCTCTGTTTTTTCTCTCTCTTGCTCCCTGACCATGCAGTGAGTAGGCCTTTCTCATTGGCTTGTTTGAGACAGGGTTTTATACTATAGCTCAAGCTGGTTTGGAACTCATGGAGTCCAGTCTGCCTCCAACTCATAAGGATCCTCAAGACAGGATCTCATTATGTAGCCCTGGGCAGCTTTCTTCAAGCCTCCTTTCACGCCTGTTGACAGTCTCTCAGGCTGGATGCTGTCACATCCCCATCCCTCCTGACCTCTTATATACTCTCAAGTATTTAAACATTCTGTTTTTTTTTTTTTGGTTTTCTGAGACAGGGTTTCTCTGTATAGCCCTGGCTGTCTTGAAACTCACTCTGTAGACTAGGCTGGCCTCGAACTCAGAAATCCGCCTGCCTCTGCCTCCCAAGTGCTGGGACTAAAGGCGTGCGCCACCACTGCCCAGCTTATTTAAACATTCTTATATGCCTGGCCCCATCTGACTTCTCTAGTCTGTAAGCGGTCCCGCGTAGCCAGCACTTTCGAGATACTGACAGTTACCTGTGATCAGTCCTGCTGAAAGGAAGAGCTGGGTGAGCGAGCCAGAGAAGGAGCTGGCCACCATGCCCAGGCTGGCCAGCAGCCCCCCCAGCATCATGGTCACTCGGCAGCCGAAACGGTTGACCAGGAAGCTGCACAGGGGTCCTGTAGGCAAGAAAAGTAGCAGTGTGTGAGGAGGTGTGAAGTCAGGCCACAGTAGGGCTGAGGGAGGGGTGCTCGTAGGAACTAGTTGGGGGTTGGGGTCGTTGTTATGGGCTATCTAAAATCTGCTAGCATGGCTTCTGGTCACCGCCTTGCCACAGTCTCGCCACGTGGTCCCAGCAAAGCTTAAAGCTTGATGTTCATTTCTGCCTCAGTTTCCTCTGCTACAGAATGAGTGGTTGGACTAGCTGTTGTGTGGCATAGCCATACTAAGCACATTTGGAGGGCATAGCGAGCTCTTCACTAACCCAAGCATGTGTATATTCGATGGGAGGGAGTGCTGTGTGACCCGTGCGTGCGTGTGAGCCAGTGTAGACCTGAGAACAAAAAAAGGGAGAGAGAGAGTAACTGTCGGGTGCTCACACACAGTCTTGCCAACACTGCTGCTGAACAGCCTGCTCTTGCTGTTGCAGGGTGAAAGGAGCCTTTGGTTGGGTGTGACTGCCTGCGAACATGACTTCCCCACCTCTTAGACGCCACCTGCCTCAGGAAGGTGACCTTGGGAAGAGCTCTGAGTCACAGGGAGGGAGTGGAGTTGGGGTGGGGATCTTGAGCCACCTGTGCCCTCTGACTTCAGTCCCCTCCCCGGACTCTGCAGGCCCTGCACTTGGTGCTTGCTGGCCTCGGTTCTCCAACACTCTGAGTGAGCAGTGGGCTCAACATGTTCATAATGGTACAACAGGATAGTGAGCCCGAAGCTACCTGGTAAGATGGGATTTCTACAGGATGTCTAGTCTCCAGTCTCTCACCGAGGCCCCTCTCGGCCTGCACGATAAGATCCTTCTGAGAATCACTGTACTCTCCAGCCCTGAAGACCAAGAGGCCATGCGTTCTGAGCCAGGCTTGGCTTTTCCTTCTTACCCTAAGTCCACACTTCTGATGGTCAATTCCTGGGTCACCATGGAGGCTGACAATCCTCCTCCCCCCAAGTTTCCTTTTTCCTGGCATGAGAGAAGTATCTGGAATAATCATCAGGTTGCTGTTACTAGCGAATGGCACAAAGGTAGCTGTGGAGCTAAGATCAGCCGAGCCAAAGAAACATTTTGTGTGTGTGTGTGTGTGTGTGTGTGTGT